AAATTTTGTAAATTTTATTCCAACATTATTGGCTTACCTTGGGGTTGGTTTAGATAAGGTCGAAGTTTTATTTGGGCTATGATCTAAAAAAGGCAAGGAAATTAATAAACGGTTAATGCTAATACCCATATTATTTTCCTAATTCCAGCTCAAGTTTCATGTAACACCAGCCAAGCAATAATAATCATAATATTGTGTCTGCCCCGGCCATCATTTATTTATTATTCTATCTCCTTTTATTCGACGTACTTTATTTAAATATGTGCATAACTTCTGGACAGATGCACCCCAAGCACCTGCAGCATCCTTGAAAAAAAAAACACATAGAAAAAATAAAGGAAACCCAAAATATATATGTTCGTATAAAAAAGATGCCAACGTACAAAAGCATTTTTTCCGTACTATGCTCTTCGCTTCTGACTGCATATTTCATGGCAAAACAAGAAGGAAAACTGCTAGAAAACACAAAAAGTGAAGGGAAAAAAAAAATGAAAATGCTAAACAAAGAAAATAAAAGCAAGCGGCAAGCTATACAAAAAATGGGCGCAAGGCAAAACTAAAAGCCAAAAGAAAATGCCGCGCTTTGGCCAAGAGTATATAGTGCTGTTCTGTACAGTCTGGGGTCAGGGGTCACTGAGGGGTTCAGTTCGCATTATTTTGTATTACAGCGTCCCCTGTACATTCACCACTGGACCGAACCCCCGGCTCAGCTTGTATTGCAATTTTTCAATTTCAAAAACAATTTTGCTCTGCCAACATACGTGTGGTCAAAGATAAGCTCTGTAAATATATATAACAAAACAACCAAAATGAATACGGCCAACGAAGGGGGGCTGTACAAAAAAAAAAAGAAAAAAAGTAGTAAAAAAGAAAAGCGGAGTCCGCCATAAAAACCCAAAAAGCGGCAGCCAAACCAAAGCTAACCGCAGCTCAAGCAGCTATTGCAGCAGCTCAAAACTGGCCAAAGCCAGAAAGGCGGTCAGCAGAAAAATATACAAAAAAAATAGAAGGCACGAGTCGAAATACCAAAAATAAAAATGCTATATGGGTGCACTCGATGGTGTGGGCGAGTGTCAGCTTGGAACACAGCGGGAAATTGCACAAAAATGAATTGTGTTGTGCAGCATTTAGTGCTGAAATATAAGTGACCTGCTGGGCGGGACAGCCGACAAGGGGACCTCTGCGTTATCGGGGGTTCCAAAAAGGGGGCTTCTGGGCCACTGCCAGGCTTCCTCAGCTTTGTTGCCGGATTGATTGAATTTTCCTTGCCACTGCCAGTTTAAATCAGGAAAACTGTTGTTACTGCTGAATTTTGAAGGGACTTCAATATTTCATAAAAATAAAACATAGGTACAAGGGCACCTCAGAAATCACTGGGGTTTTGAAATCACTTACAAAGGTGTCGAAAAGTATGCAACAATATATTTTAAGTCCAGAAGTCGTAGGAACTTATTACCAAACACTGTTTACTGCATACTTTTAGGCAGCTCTATGGTTGATTTTAAAACTTACTTGTATTCTTATCATTGAGTAAAATTAGGTAACATTTCTACACATTTAACTCCTTCTCCTCAACCTCATGATATCCATAAATGGCAGTTTATAACATGATATTGCTGCTGTTGCCACAAGTGTTGCTGTCGGTGTTGCTGATGTTGCTCCTGCTGGTATTGCTATTGCTGCCGAGTTCCCTGACCGCAAGCACAAAGCAGCTTGCCAAGTTCTCAAGTGCATTAATGTTCTGTTTTGTGGTTAGCGCAATGCGTCGGAGTTATTATGGTGGTGGTGATGACAAATGCAGCAAAACCAGTATCTCTAAAATGAAATCGTTCATAAATACTAACATGACTATTGCGTGTTGGCTCTGACAGAAGCTTAGAAGTTGCGTTTGCCTTTGAAGGGAATGATTGCCATGGCCACAGAGCTACTATATTTTTTTACAGCTTATCTGTAAGAGGAGTAAACTATTACAAATGTGAACTACTGATATATAAATATGCGACTACATTAATTTTTAAATACACAATTAGCTCACATTATACGTATTCTTCAACACTGTAAAAGAGGTATATATATTTTAAGGTCTTCCAAACAGCACTCAATTTAAAATAAAACCCGTCTTGATTAATTTGAAACTGCTCTGGGAGTGAAACCCTTTTTTTCGTGATCCGTCGGTGAGTAAGTGCATCAGCCATTGGCGGAAATCGAATTCATTTGGGGCTTTCGCCGTCCTGCGGCAACAGTGCGTATGTGCAATGTGGCTTTTCCGACGCCAAATCGCAACGAAAGCGCCAAGCAAATTGACAAAAGCAGGGCGGCAGTCGTCGCCCAAAGGCACTCAGCGGTTGTGGCAGCAGCAATAACACAAAACCGCAAATCCCTAAGCCGCTATAACATTTCTCAAACGCTGCCAAACGGGTTGGCCAAAAAGGGGGTGTGCTGATTCTAGTAGGGGGGGGGTGGTTCAAACGGGGTGAAAGTGTAGCCAATCGGGGCATCGAAACCGGCGTAAGCCGCTAACAGAGGCAGCTGCAGATGTAGCTGCAACTGCTGCAACTGCATCCACTGAATCCATGAGAACCAAGCCAAGCGGAGCATGGCGAAGGCAAACAAAAGCTTAGCGGGCATAAAAACAAAATGCCAAATGCGAAATGCGCCAGATCCACAGAACCACCCATCGAAAACCAAACCCGAACGCGTAACCCAAACCCAAGTCCAATCCAAGCCAGAAGCAAATCAAAGCGAATGCAACACTCAATTGCCATTATCGACGACGCCAAGGCAGTTTCTCTGCTAAGGGCTTCCTTTGTAAAAACAGAAATGAAAATACCCCCAATGAAAATGTAACTGCTTTCAGCCCAAAGATCTCCGACGATTGCCGGCTTTTCCTGCCAGGATTTTTATATTAAAAACCGCTTAATGGAGTGCAACTTATTGCATGTGCACTAGAAAGGGATGGAACAGTCTCGCAGACTGAAAGGAGCTGCGCAGAATTGCAATAAAAATTAAATGAAAACGCCAATGAAGTTTCCTTTCGGCCCACCGACAATAAAAATTCAATGGCCGAATATACTTCGGTCAAAGAAAAATAGTTTTTGAGTTTAGCAAAGCTCTTAAAATCAATTGTAGATTTTTATATGACTTCAAATTAGTTGTAAGGTGCAATTTGTTAAGAAGGTGAAATAAAATAGCTAGCTAAAAATATTTCTATATTTAAAAATATTCATGGACTTAAGTGTTTTAAGAATTATTATTAATAATCCAAGCCACTAAGTTATATTCTTTGTTATTATAAGCACTTTCTTACCATAAACCCTTTTTATTTCAACGAATAGATTATATGATATGATAAGTAAATTACTATATTTCCTTTGAAAATCTCAACAAATATATTTGAAATACCTTTTAAAGTTAGGTTCAGGTAAAGCATTTCCTTCCTCCTGGTAATTCGCTTTGATTGAAATATTTTTCAGGTTTTGCAATAAGGGCAGACTGCAGCTTTATCAAATTTGTGTAGCCATAAAGTAGACCATAATCTGGGAAGCCGCCGATGTTGATCACATTCTCGGCCAATGGCCCACAAGCTTCCGCAAAAGCTGGCATCTCGTATGCAGCACACTTTGCCTCGCATGATGGGGCAAGTGGGGCAGGAATGTGGGTGGAAACCATCCCGCCACCCACACCCAACTGGCCGCAAGGACCTGGCCCACCTGTAAGTGAGTTAAGAAGCACAGGCAAGAAGCTGCCCTTTTTTTTGCTGTTCTTTAATTTGAAAAAATTGTCAAGCATCAAAATACTTTTAGAGCTTTCCTCAGCCCGAAGGCAGTGGAAAATGGGCGATGGAGCCCAAGTTACTTGTGCAAGTTACTTGTCAGCAGCCGCGTGCGGTGCGTGCAAATAAATCAAATAAATTATGGCAAAACCGAAAGGAAAGTGTGAGAAATGGAGGCGCTTTTCCCTCCTGCTCAATCCCTGGCCTATTCATATGCTTATGTTGTAACCCACAAAAATAAAATAGAAAAAAAAAAACAAACAAGAAATGGAAAATCAGACTAAAAGTGTGAAAATTTGTGTTGGCGGCATTGCAGCAGCGGTAGCAGCAACATCTGGAAAAAAGGAGTAACACCGACCATAAAAAGTAGCACCAACATCATAATCAACAGCAAAAAAAAAATATTAATGGAGTTTTCATGTTTATAATGTCATTAGCTCACAAATGCTGCGGATGCTGTGGAAGCTTATGCTGTTACTGTTGCTGTTGCACATGTGCCGTGATTCCCTGCCACATATTTTCAGTGATTTTTTCACTCCTGCCACCTCCTTGGGCCGCACATCCTTTACGCGCACACAGAGACAGCCGTAAACATGCAGCACACACATAGACACATCTATAAATGTGCGAACACTAATGTGCACATTATGTTGGGGCCATTATGCCGGGTTCTACTGGGTTCTACACTGGGCTCTACTCTGGGTTCTCCTCCGTATAGTAAAGCCAAGGGGCCAGGAGCTGCCCACCAGACCATGCACAATGAGTTGGTGGTTTGGCTGCTTGGCTGCTTGGCGACGGGGTGGCGCTACCAGTTAGCAAGTAAAAACCCTTTAACTCATTTGTTTTGCTTAGCACAGCAAAAGCAAAGCAAAAGCAACAACTGGGGGAGCTTGTGAATGGGAAATGGGGGCGGATTGCTTTGTAAAACAGGAGGCGTGTGAAATAACGTTTAGCGTTGACGTTAAGGGCCAAGATGTACACAATACACTGGAAAATATTTGCATTTGTTTGGCATAAAGTAGATAATTTTTAAAAAAAATTTAAGGTTTTTCTTAATTTTTTAAAAATATTTTTAAAGAGGAACTTGTCTTAAGGTAGGCCTATCTATTTTTTACTTACGAAACTGGAATACTAATCTTCTATTTCAAGAAATGGGTTCAAACATTTTAAAAAATAGACCGTATTTAATTATCAAAACAGATTTATAAAATAACACAGTCTAATTTATTAAATTCTAGTGGGTTAAAATTTAGATTTAAGTGTTAAATACATATGTTCATCTCCCATAACTAATCCGATCCTCGAAGATCGGTCATGGAAGGCGCATTAACAGGCAGATCTACTGGGTCCCGCTGATGGCCATCACAAAATTTGAGCCCCGCAAAGTGCTCAATATCATGAACATCACATAGAAATGATCGCAGATCCATTTCCTTGTCGACATCAGCATTTGGCACCACAAAGCCCTCCATTAATGGTAAATCACCATCTTCACCATCGTCCCTTATAATGACTTTAAAAAAATGAGTTGGAACAGCCACCGTGTTCATGCCCATTACATGGTGACGTATAGACCAGTTTCGGAAAGTAATCCTTTGGGGCATAAACAGAGGACCGGTGTAGACATAGACTGAACCAAATTTTAAAGCCATTTCCCTAACATAGTTCTCCAAGCGAAGCCAAATGTGATTTTTCAGTCCCCTGTTGATGGGTACTATGTTGGGAAATTTATAGGCTTCCATAAATCGTAGTATATCGCATTTGTAGTTTTGGGGGGAGGCCAAATGACCTCCGACCCAATCGCTGTTTCTAAAGTCCCGCATATTAGCACTAAACATGGGTGGTATGGTATTATCCGCTAGGTATTCATTCGGTTTATGCAACGTCTTCAGATCCCTCATTCTTAAACACTCGTCTTTAACGTGTTCACATACCCAGTGGGCAATACGATTACGACGATCGTATGAAAGAATAAAATTCTTGTAGACATGTATTTCATCCATTCCCGGAAAGCCATACTTCATAATTCCAGCTACGTGAGCGATTTCCTCATGTGGATAGCCTTCTTGTCCGACGGAAAATGTCATGTACATGATCTTAAATAACCTTGAGTCACAATCGATTCTCGTTCCATTTTAATTTGGACTCACTGCTTTATACGCCCTTGTCCGACTCCAAAGTATAAATTGATCGAAAATGGATACGCTATCTTGCCGTTCGGAAAATTGTTTGTTGTTTTCTCCAGTGACTATCGACTTTCCTTTGGCATTATTTATTATGGAACCTTTAGTCACACGTCCAAGAAAAGATAACTAAAATATTGAAATTCTAATTATTTCATCGTTTTAAAATATGGCAACTTACGGCGTTAAAAATATGCTTTCGGCATTGGTAGACATAGGGATCAGTAAGCATGACAGATTTTATTTTTCTATATGATACATGTTGTTGGACAAGAGCACCGAATATAAAAAATGTAACTCCAGTTACAGCACACAATGATGCCACTACATAAGTTGACATTATTAGCGAAATTTCTTTACCGAAATTTTATAATGACTTGCAGATTTAAAAGACATTTTAGATAATTTACCGAATGGTTTCTTTTAAAATTTCATTCAAAGAGTTTTTTTTGGGAAAATAAGAAAAAATGTATAATTCTGACAGTCTAAGCAAACATATTCCGATTCATTTTATTTATTCCTTTTTATTATTATATATTATATTATTATATTATATATGTTAACTAGGAATAGGATCTTGTCGACCATTTGTACTTAAACACCAGCTTGTAAATATTATGAGTAATGTGAAATTAATGTCTTGACTTTAATGTGTTTTAAAGTTACTTCCCACGCTTATCGAACACATCTTTAAGCTCAAGGAAGTTGTCTGCACAAAGAAAATGGAAAGGAATTTTGTGCTTATTCATGACCGAATCTGTTTCCATAAATAGAAACCACCCACACAACATAAGCTGGAATTTTCCGCCCCCTTTCGCGACGTTTTTCTACTTTATAATGATAACATTTTCATGTTTTACAATGTTGTAATGCCTGGATATGAGTCCCAAAAGCGACATCCTGGCTCTAGACAATGTTTTTATGACGTCATTTAGGGGTTAATGTGTGAGTGTGAGTGTGCGCGTCATGGTTGATTCATTAGTTTCGAGAAGTTTTGAAAACTATTAACAGCAACAATCTTTCCACAGCTGCATTGAGATTTTTGCTAGCTGAGGTCCTCGGGGTTTTCGTTGTCAATTAACATTTTTGCAAATAGCGGCAGGGCCCAAATGCATTATTAAAGAGCTCAATCAGCCTTGGCCGGAAACGGAAGTGAATTTCAAGTTTTTATTTCTACACTTCCCATGGGGAAACTTTTTGGGCAGCGGGATGGGGAAAGTGCACGTTTACATCCGCGTTTAGTTCTCCTTTGTTTGAGGCCAGCAAAGTTAGCGCATTTCATTTATTCATGCCTCCTTGACCAGGCCCATTCCCCCCCCTTTCCTCCTCCATTTGTTGCGCTTTCCCGTATTTCCTTTTTTTTTCTTGAAGGAAACAGGAAGAGGCAGCATGTCGCGTCCTGTGCTAAATGTAATTTTCCGTTGTTAAATCCTGTTTTTCAAAACTTCTTTCCAAAGTGCAAAGGAAGTCAACTCGAGCAGACAACAAGCAAAACGTAAAAAAAAAAGGAAGTGGGGGAAAAACAAAAGGATAATCTGCAGTGCTACCAAGAAATATCAGACAGTTGGCGAGGGAAATAAATTACTTGGCACTCATCATCTACTCAGCTGCAAGGAGACTGCAGAGGCAATTTTATCAAATAGAGGAATAAAATCTTTGGAAAAATTAAAAACATTTGATATTATAAATTTATTGTTGACGGAGAGGCGTTGTTCTTAACCTAAATATATTTCGGATTTGAGGAAAATACAAAATTACATCTTAAAATATTGATATTTTTTAGCATTATATCATTATTATGAGTTCAACATTATTGTAAAACTCCTTAATTAGTCGAATTTTTATAAGTATTTTGCATAATATCAATTTTCGTCTGCATAATGTACTATTTCTCCCAAAAATGCCCCTCCTTCTTCGAGAGTTATGGTCCAACTTGATGGTAAATATTGTTCAAAGCCACGCCCAACTAATTACAACTTCTTATGTCCCGCAACACATTTACTTTAATTAAGTTATTTGCCCCGCCCTTCGAGGGTTCATTTTGGCTGGCCAAAATGACAAATGTTCGAGGGGGAACGCCTACCGGAAAAACTTTACAGCATCGCGTAAGCAGGTCATAGTTTTTATATGTGCGAGTACATCTCCTGACTGACAGACCCTGCCCCACCTCCTTCGTCCTTCTTGGCCAGGACTCACTCTGTCCCCGAGGTCTTTGTCCACTTGCCAGGAAAACAAATTTACGGCATTGCTTTTAGTTGTTCCTCGTTATTGTTGTTGCACATTTGAAATGTACATAATAATTCACACTCTCTGGGCGGCGGATTGGGGGGGGGGGTCTGGGGTTTTGGAGGGGCTTGGTCCACGCACAAATCTACGCCAAAAGTAAAGTCATAAGAAAATGCATAAAACATGCCCAACATTCGCCGTCAACGTCGCCAACACTTCAGCTGCCTGCCTGCCTGCCAGGCAAAAACTTTTCTCATCATCAACCACAAACAAAGGCCAAAACAATGGAAGAGCAAGCAAGACGGCAACAGGGGCCAGAGCGAGATGGGAGAAGGGGGCCCGAAAAAAGCTGAAACCCGAATCGGTGGACCAGGCCGAAAACATAAATTGCTGCAGGACAAAATATTGTCCACACTGGGGAAAATATTTCTTGATTTCTTTCAAGCAATGATAAAATTTCTACCATTTAACAATGTTAAATTGATATTGAAAAATGCAAATTTTGATAAATATTTGTTTGAAAATACATATCAAAGTGATATAAATTATGGGAAATTTATTCCGTTGGGGAGGGATCAATATATTTATTAAAATCTTTAAATAAATTTCTGAATTAAATTATTTTAAGCTCATTTTTATTTTATTGTAAGGTTTTTTTTACCATATTACCGAACTATAATGCGTTTTTTCTAGCTCATGAGCATAAAATGTAGTGTTATTTGACATTTTCTATGACTCTGATTAAATATAAAACAAATCGATTAATATGGTGAAAATAATTCCTGTGTAGACAATGGCACTGCCAAGTACCCCAAAGAGCACCCCCTCAAGGGGGTGCCACGCCCACTGCCACGCCCAGCCGGCTAAGCCACAACAACTTTGCAGCAATTAAGCTCCGGGCCAGTTCTGACATTGGGCCCAAATGCGAAGCGAAACGAGGCGGGGGCCGAGAGCAAATAATTTTTAATTGTGCTGCACAATGCTGTAAAATTAATTCATCTTTTTCACACTCAAATAAATTGCTGTTGACGCGACAACAACAGAATTGGGGGGAAGGGGGTTAAGGATTGGGGGTTAAGGGGCAGGAAGTTGTTGTCGCCGTCGTCTGCTCAAGAGCGTAAATAATTACATTTTCTTTGTGCTGTTGCCAAAACGTTGCAATTTCTGCTTAAACTCGAATCCTCAGCCACCCACTTGTCCCTCATCTGCTGCCTTTGGCTGCAACCTGTCACTTGCCGGTGGCAAAAACGACGACAAAAAACACAAAATACAACGACGAAAAGCACAAAAAGTCTCCAAGTGCAACAAAACACAATGCAAAAGTGCATTTGCTTCGCGGCATACATGGCGTATACGTAACGTGCTGGCAGAGCAGCAATTTCTTTAATATATTTACGCCCAATGCTTGTTGCAAAACAAACAATGACGCATACAATTTATATTTAATTATGCGCAAATTAGTCTGCTCTACCCCTGAAATTCTCCCCCTTCAGCACACAAAAAACCAAAGCAGTTGGAAGTGTTGGCACATGACAAACACTCGCAACTTTTTGCCCCCTATATGTATGGTGTATATAGTAAATGCGGGTCTGCGAGTTGAGTTTTTGTTTACGGTTCAGTTTCGGTTGGATTTTACGCTAATTTCCCTAGCTCGTTTATTGCGGCCTTGTTGCACTTCCTTTTTTTATTGTATTGCATGCTTGCAAGTAATTTGCCGAATACCTAATGAATATTCAGCAGCCGGGGGCAGGCAATAGCTTATAGTTATGACCCAAGAGCTATGGCATCCCTACTCCTTCTTCCCTGCTCTAAATGCTGGCCGTAATCTATTCGTTTAAATTATTCAATTCCTATGCCCGGGCTGCTGTCCGGATTTGAACACCTCACGAGTTGGACGAGTTGGAAGCCCGAAGGCTGCCACGTGGCAGGATTAAAAGCTCCTCGGGCGATGGGCCAACTGTGCGTATACGCAATTAATAGAAGAACAAGGGAGTAAGGAAAAGGCCTTTGCGAAATATAAACTAAGTAAACTACACTTTAATGTTTAAAAGACAGATTTATATCAGATTAACTTGTACTTTTTATACATAATTTATTTTTAAAGGACTCAGGCAACACTCTTGAACTGTATTTGAACCTGTAGTGCTTTAAAATAATAAAATATTTAATTACTCTAGGAATCCCCTTTTAATGAGCTCCCCAATCGATGGCCCCAAAAAATATATGAATATTTCCTGTGCGCAAATTCTTTCGACAAGAATCTGTGTCGCTGGGGCTCCAAACTTCTACGAAAAGTGCTCCAGTCGAGAAGAGTTCTTGCCGTGAAGAGTTTAACAATTTAAGTTGAGCAAGAATCTGCACAACTTTGTCAATCGAATAGTTTTGCTAGCAGGAAACTTTAAGGACACACCTCCAGAAGGGGTGCAACCCCAGCCCCCATTTAATTTATCCCGCCTTCCTGGCCAACATTTGCACACTCATTAAATGGTGCACATCAAGTTGGTCCCCGAAGCCCGCACAATTTATGGCGGCAACTGCGAGTTGCATGCCTCCGTAATTAACTTGTTGTACCGCCTCGCATGCAGCACAGTGGGGCGCATATAGGGGCTGCCGCCGGTACAGGTGGCACTGCGGTGAGGGTGACTATTATTAGGAGCCCCGAAGCGATGGCAAGAACACTGAATTTATGAATGGAACACGGTTTGGGGGAGTTTCGAGGGAGGGCCATGCAAATGCGAGAAACGATACGGCTTTACACTGAGAACAAACTGGTGAATCATATTTTTACATTTCAGGATATATCAATTGCATCAAATTAAAATAGTATTTTTAAGTGTGGTTTAGTGGGCACATTTAGCTACTTAATATTGTAAATATGCTGACTAATTGATGCAATCAATCAAATATTAAGCAATAATTAACGACAAACAAAAGGGGCACATATTAAAAGTATTTAATAATACAACACATTTCCCTTAAAGTTACAATATTGCTATATTAATATCTTAAGTACAATTAATTAAAGCACTCTATTTAGTTGAAATTGCAGCATAATTCGATCGTAGGTATTAACATAAAATATTGGTTTTTATAAAATAACTTGCTAAATCTGTTTTATCCATTTTCATTTCTTAGTGTGATATTTTATGTGTTATTTATTGTTAGACCCCAGTTATTCTAATGCTTAGGGCTGCTTTCTTTCAATTGAAACCTCTAAGGACTTACTC